GACGGTAAGTACCGTCGTCCTCCTGCTCACCTCCGTCACGCCATGGGCCTCGCAAAAGGCGTCCCTCAATTCCGTCGCGGCCCTCTAGTGCGAACCCAAAACCGCCGCCACCACGAACGGTAAACCCTAGGTCATCGTCGCGAGGGCCAAAGCCAGGAAATCGGCCCTGCTTGTGGCACTCGTCGGCAAACGGGTTGTCCGCCGTCAACGTGTCGTCGGAATCAGCCCCGGTAGGCAGTGGTGGTGGCGATCGGCGGCGGGGCGCCCCGCCAAAGCCCCGACCTCCTCGACCACCGCGGTGTCCCTCGCGAGTGCCCCGGTCAGCGATTTCGAGATTTCGACGCATCTCGTCCATCATGGTGCGCATCGTCAGTCGTAATTCCTCGAAGCCCGTCGAAAGATCCACAAATCGATCATCAAAACTGTTGAATCGCTCATCAATTCGCTGAAATCGGTCATCAACGGAGTTGTCGATCACGGCTTTGTCCTTCTTCGGCGGCATCGTGGATCGTCGGCTGGTCTGCTGATCCTAACTGATGTAGAGGATGTATACGAAAGGGAAAGAACAATCTCAAGAGAGAACAGATAATTTTTATTCAATCGATAAACTGTGTTTTCTCTTCTGTTCGCAGTACATAAATAAGGAGTTTCCACTAACTCCACTAAAGCACGATAAATCCTAATAATTAAAGGAACACCCCCATACTAATAAAATAACATAATTGCAACCACTAAAGATAAATAGACCCAAAAGGAAAATAAAGCAATAAAATAAATGTGCTAGACAGGCAAACGGTCATATTTCTGCAAGAACATCAACGCGGCCTCGTCTCCATCAGTGTTCTAATCGAACACGCCAACAAAATTGGCTGAAAATTGATTATGAGATAAATTTACAACACACAATAAATGTTTGATATTTATTTGTAAATATAAAAAAATTAAATTTTATTTGTAATTACGCAAAAGATAAGGATTTTATATGCAGTTAAGCCATTATCTAAAAGTTATCAATCAAACCAAAAAATGTAACCCACAAAAGTGCAGGACACGGTCGCAACTGGCAAGGCATTAACTCGGAGGAACTCCAAATAATGACTCCTCAACAAACCATCATTTCACCAAAAAGTACAACAAAACACACTTTCACCAACAGCCACTAATTATTGATCAAAACATTATTTATCATTAAGCTCCCAAACTACAACTATACTAGACTGCCTAAACTATAACCACCATGATCCCAAATTTCCTTCTTACAAAAAAAGAATACTACAACATAAGAAAAAAACAAAAGAATGATAAAAAACAAAAGTAAAACTACAAAAGAACCAATGGGCCCCACTTAATAGATGAGCAGGACCCACCAATCAAGAAAAAAAAAAAATTCACACTAATGGGCCCCACTTACTCCACCTGCTCGCCGATCAAGTCGAAGCCGACGAGCAGGAAGGACACTCCCTGAAACAGAAGGAAGTAGAAATGTATCCCCTGAGCCGACAACAAACTCCTGGCGGCCGCCGTCAGCAGAAGGAAAGCCAAAGCCAACTCCTTTGTATAAATCCTATTATGCTTCTTCTTCATCTTCATATTCTTCTGCTTCTGTAGCAGCAGCTCATTATTAACGAGCTCGTCCAGGTTTCCCGGCTCAGATCTGCCCCTCTGGTGGTGGGCCCCACGGCACTCGGGAGCCACCAAAGAGGCGAGGTCGCCTTCAGATGAACGGCCGGATTTCTTGGTGACGACCCACTCGTAGGCACTGCCGAGCTGGAAGAGACCCGAGACCATGGCGTTGAACTTTGTGACTGACATTGTGTTCTCGAAAAGGAGATAAGGGACGATGAATGGGAAGGATCTTGGGGCCGGGAGGATGTTGAGGAACGACATGGCCGTGGGTATGTAGCAGACGACCCAGGCGGGTAGGGTGGCCTCCGGGACGAACATTGTCATGGGGAGGATTATGCAGAAGAGTGTGAAGGAGTAGAAAGGGAGAATGAGCTTACGGAGAAGGAAGAAGAGGAATATCATGTTTGCCTTCTTCCATATGCTGATCTGCCATTTCACAAATTTAAAAAGAAAAAAATGGTTTCAGATATGAGTCCATTTTTTCGGATACGAGTATTTCGTTTAATCAGATTGGTTTGTACGGTTTTTCGTTTTCTTGCTCTTTTTTTTTTTCTCACTGTCTGTTGCAGAAAGATAGAGGGCTTGGTTTCTGTTTTCAATCGGTACCAGAATTGAGGCTTCGTGATTCTTTGATTTGTGCGGACGTCAACTTTATGAATGAGTTTGTCTCTTCAAATTATCATATCATGAATGCAGACTTGATATTTGTTTCTATTACGAATTTTGAGGCTTTTCTTTTTTAGCTTGTTGTGGGTGAATTTAGGGTAGTTTATTGTGTCATATATCCTTTGTTTCAAGAAAAATATATTGTATTACCTTAGCTTTTATGACGGCAGGCAAACAGAGACGGAACAACTGCATCGGCCCAGAATGCCATCTGTGCTGTTGCTTTCTATACGCTTCGTATGATTCTGGCAACTCACATTGGCACTGAAAAACCCCATATATGTTTAAATTGATCAGTTCATTAAAACGGCATTTATTTATTTATTTTCTAAAAAAGATCAAAAAAAAGGATGTTAATCCAATCCAACCTCGACATCATTGAGGAAGATGAATTTCCAGCCGTGCAAGTGGGCTCGGACAGCAATGTCCATGTCCTCAACCGTTGTTCTCTCCATCCACCCGCCCGATTCCTCCAAGGCTTTTATTCTCCAAACGCCGGCCGTCCCATTAAACCCAAAGAAGTTGAGGAAAATGCCATTGACCTGCTGCTCGACCTCAAAATGGAAGGCTAAGTTGATGAGTTGCAGCCTCGTCAGCAGGTTCTCATCCTTGTTTACAAATGACCACCTAGCCTGAACGAGCCCTAGTTTCTCATTCTCCTGTCATTCAAAGCGCGCCACATATGAATAATGTGTAGCTCAAAAACAGCAGCAAAAGTACTAAATGGATTGTGCTTGCTGCAAACATACAAATAAACTTGATAATTGTGTTTCAGCTCGAACAAACGTTCTTTGTCTGAAATATTCAACCTTTCATAACTCAACAAGGATCTAAATACAAAGGGAGATTAGATTACTTATTCTACAGATAACTTTTTCAACTACTGGTTCTCAACTATTAAGAGCAAAAATATTTTGCCAACATTTTGCAATGCATTTCAGTCTAAATCAATAAGCTGCACAACAATATTTACAAATCAATTAGAATTGAAACTGGGTTTCTAGCAAAAAGAAATTTACCCTGAAGTGTGGAACGGTCCTCTGGAGGAAATCCGGGTTGGGCTGGAAATCAGCGTCGAAGATGGCGACAAACTCGTAATCCTTGACATAACTACAATTCATGGCGGACTTAAGGTTGCCGGCTTTGTAACCCTCCCTAATCACTCTATGCCTGTAAACTATGTTGGCACCATTCTCCTTCCACTTGTGCACTTCCTCCTTAATTAGCATCTGTGCCGTTGGATCATCCGAATCATCCAAAATCTGAATCAGCAATCTCCCTTTAGGCCACTCCAAGTTACACACGGCAGCAATCGACTGTTGATAAACCTATCACAATTGCCCCCATAAAAAATGAAAAACAAAAAATAAAATAAAATAGAACACCAATCAGTTCCAGCCACAAGTAACTCAATCACAAAATTGCTTATTTCCACAAGATTCATCAAAACTACCAATAAAGAAAGAGCTATAAATGTATGGAGAAGGCTACAGTCCCGTCCCGTTACAGTATGGTTACGTTGGTGTCTTCAACCGTAGATTACCTACACTTCTCTACATATGTATCTAAGGTTAAGAACAACAACGGAATTATATCTAACGGGAATGTAGCATTTTCCTAAATGTATAATAGAAGAAAAGGAGGGTTCTTTACCTCTTTCTCGTTGCACATGGGAATCTGAACTAAAACCATGGGGAAATAGCCATCTCCATCTCCAGACTCGAGATCGGTAAGGCCCTGTTT